GCATGTACAGAAAAGTGTTGACTGCTCTTTTGAAAGAAAGTTCTGCTTTGGGAATAAACAGTTATTCATCTAAAGAAAGTGACAGTGCTGATTGCAAGGACTGTAGGATACTTCTCACAATGAGTTCTTGCTTGCTTCCAGTTGTTTTTGACTAAATACCTGGCAGGTCTTTGACCTGGTATGCAGAGGGAAAGAATAAAGGAAGCAGCTGTCATAGTTGCATTTCCAGTGGCTCTTGTCACCTGTCACCTAATTTTTCCATGTTCCTGGGTGAAGGAACTGCTCAGACAGTTTATTAATATGTAATATGAAAACAGAGGGCACTATTTCTCTGCCTATCACAGTTTTTCCATTATCTATGGGATGAGTCTCTGTGTTTCTTGGGATTTCAGAATTGGGATGCCTGCAGGGAACAGTAATAGGAGGACAGAACAGGTTGATGAGTTCCTTAGGAGGCTTTTGCCTCTGCTTTTTATCTGTCTTAAAGGACTGGGATGTCCCTTCTTCCTTGTATCCTGACTTTGCTAATGTCAAGTGCTATTTATTCCTCCATTTTTTTTTTCCTCCCTACTTTCTTGATTGTCTGTGCTGTACAACTATAATTACTACATAGGCATGTCTGTTGTTGTGGACAAATATTTTAACTCATGAAGCAGTAGTACTTTTACAAGTGGAAAAAAGGAATTGTTTATCTGGACCCTGAAAAAAACACTTTCATTTTGATAACTGTTATCTGTTACTCTGCAAATTGTGTTTTATAGCAGGTGTGCAGGACTTCAAAAGAAGTCCTGAATTACACAAATAATTAGGCTTTTCATAAGCATGAATGCAAGAAAGTAACATTGATTCGCATTTTAAGATACATGTGCTCCTTTTCTGCCAGAGGGACTTTGTGCTTCTGCTCCTTTTCTGCCAGAGGGACTTTGTGCTTCTGCTCCTTTTCTGCCAGAGGGACTTTGTGCTTCTGAAACAGACAATCGGTGAAGGGATTTCAGTCAGAAATGCAGATCTGAAATTTTGCTGGTTTTGGGTGTTTTCTGATGTATTTCCAGGTTTCAGTAGGTTCATCTTGCAAAAGTCACGTTATGTCTAATTCGAGCGCTTATTTTACCAACATGGTTAAAAAAAACCAACTAAATTATGGGATAAAACTGATTATCTTTAATCATTCTTTGCAGCCTTCCTTTGTGGCAAGATTGCCATGAGCTGTGGAGTAAGAAACGCAGAAGACAGAAGCAGATGGGCATGACTGATGACACCACAGCAGCTAAAGTCCCTAGGAAGGATCTGTCTCTAGGCACGGATGAGAGCAGAACCAACACCCCACAAGGCATGCAAACTTCTTCCCAACTCAAAACTCAGGGCAACTCTAGTGTAGCACTTGGTCAGTAATACTGTCAGTTCTTGTAATTACTTTCTTCTTGGAATGCACCTCTAGAAATTTTAGATGTTATTTTTAGAGTACTGACATCTCCTGGATCCTTGAGGAAGGAAGAATATTGTAAGTTAAATCTTTGTTACAAAAGCTTTCTTTGCTTTTGGAAACTAGGTGTTCCTCTTAAGTTTTCCTTAATTTTTCAATCTGGTCAGAGCAGCTACCCTGCTCTGTATTTTGAAGGGATTTTCTCTCTTGCTCATCTATAGTCTTGTAATCCCACAAGTCAACTACTGCTCAAAGTTCCTTACACACTCCAAAGATTGGAGTAGCTTTATTGATAAACAGATGAGAAGGCAGATTTTAGAACAAGAATTATTTCAAATGAAACATCCTTCTGCATGTTATGTTAGTCTTCAGCTTTCCAAGTTGTTGGGGTTGAACCAACTTGTAAAAAAGCCAAACACCAGCGCCCTCGCCCCCAACCCCAAACCTGGTATAACAAGAAGCATCTACCTCTGTAGATTGTGCAGCCACTAATTCTGAAACTTGACCAAAGTATCTTGTTTGGAGACCAATTCTATGAACATAATGTAAAGTAGTAGTTTCCTGTATGGACAGTATTTGAGATACTCAGCAGTTTGGTAATAATTCCCTCATAATATGAAGAAATACAGAGTGACAACACCAAACAGATACTTGATAAGTTTTTGCTTATACAAAGGGACTATAAATCCTGTGGCACTGATACAGGAGTTCAGCTGAAGAAAAACAGTAAATGCATTCACAGGGCCTGAAAATTCTTTAATAGTAACAATCTTGAATCAATTCTTAATTTAATAATGGAGCAGAGCTCCAAATACCATGTGCAAAGATAAATAGAAAATAGTTCCTCTGATCATATTTTATTGCAATTTATTGCCTCTTGCTCCTGTTCATCTTGTTTCTTGCTGTAAGCTGGATATAAGCTTCTGCCACTCCATATGTTTAGGCTAAAGCTCTGGCAGCATTTTCAAGCGTGACTTACTGTGGCCTTTAAGATTTCCCCTCTGCCCTGCAAATGAAAACTGTATAGAAGTTTAAAGACTCCAATGGATAGTGATTATTTTTGTTACGCTTTTATAACAGCCCCATGATAGACTACTATATTTATTAGTCATTAATACTAACCATGCAGAGTACGCTAAACAGATAGAGATGGAATCATTCAGACCTATCTTGCTGTTTGCCCATATGTACATAGAAAAATATATTCAGGTAGAAAGGAAGACAATTTAATTTGCAGTGGAGCTTAGGCAGTTAAGCATAGAAGTGTTTTCTGTATTAATCAAAACACTTCTGGAAACCATAATGCACCTTAGATAATATCACTTTGACACACTGAAGGAATCTGTGTACACATGCATGCTTTAAATAAAACTATTGCATTTTTTTCTGAGCACCCGAAAAGAAGAGGCTAAAAACACCTTAGGTCAGTTGCTAATGTTCTGATTCATTACTAGGACCCCAGGTTATTTCATTTACAGTTTAACAGGAGCTATGTAGAGCTCAGTAATTCTGTTCTGGTAGAAACTGCCGAATTTCCCACAGTACATTTTGCTCTTAGGATGGACTTCAAATTAACCCGGAGTATGGAATAGGTAGATTAGTTTCTCTGTTTGGCATTTTTCTGCTGAATTTTCACTTGAGAGTTTGAGAGAAGATTGAGTGTTGAGCATATGATCTTCAAATGTTACAGAATCAACTGTTAAGAGTCTCATCTGAGTGAGAGCCAGCAGTGCAAGGCATTAGATAGGTTTTTTTCTGTATTGCCAGATAAAAGGTGTGGGACTTCTTTGTATTTGTAGAAATATATAAAATCATTTAAGTCCCTGGATCCTGCCTGAGTAGGTTCCAAGTGCACATCCACAAGTAGGGTAGTGGATTGTGGGGTTTGCCGCTCTTTCCGGCTGTGCTGTGCTGCTCTTAGTCTTGCAAGGCAAATATGTATGTGTGACCATTTTTTCAGGCATGACATTGAATCTGCTATGAATTAATATATTGGTGTATTAGCAGAATGGCAGGGATAGAAGAGGGCAGAAAGTGTTCATGTTGATCTGGGTTACGACAAAAGGGCTCTGCCAGCACAGTCACATGTGTTCATTTTTTAAATTTTTTAACTACCTTCTTCTCTTAGTCATCTAATTGTAGGACATGTTGAAATCCATGCTTCTTCACTGTTTGTTTCAAAATAAACTACCACAATGGGTGTTTGAAACTAAGAAACTACTTAGGTATTCTGACTTCCTTACTTATAATTCCCTGCATCATCATAGTCTCTCTTATTTGTGGCAAGTAAACTCCATTTCATTGAAGAAATTGTGTATCACCACAAAACCTGCATTTTCCTGCTACTCAGTGATTGAGTTCTTGTCCTTCAAACTCAGCACTTGATTTTGCATTTGTGCAGCTAGTTTCTGGGTCACCTAGGGCCTGGTCACTTTAGCATGTGTTATGATCCAGATGCTGAATCAGAATAGGCCAGAATATGACTGGAAATGTGTTTTGCAGATGGCCACTTTATAACAGAGGGATGTGGTATGTCAAAGGTAGGAAGTTTTGCAGGGACTGGAAATCTTACAGCTGCCTGAAGCAGATCCTTTAAGCCCCAGCTTAGTTGTATTGTGGAAAATTGAGCTCCAGCTTGGTGTTTCTCGTCGGTCTAAATGTATGTGTGCACCCCCGGAAGTTACTTTCTTAACATTGAATCTTACTGCTCCATTTCTTAGAGAGGCACTTCCCCAGAGGCTGTTAATATGTAAAAACATTCAATTTCTATCTTGTCCAAACCCATGCTTTGCCAGTTATGTCAGTGATGCTAGATTATTCTTAATTTCGAGTTTCTGAAATACGCCAGTTCTAAATAATACTTAAAAACACCTTTTTTGTCTTTAGCGAAAACAAGCACTGGACAGCAGTTAAACCAGAATGAAGTGGCAATCCTGCTAAACCTGCTACAGTCTAAAACAAGTGTTAGTTTGGCACAGTTTGCCCAAGTGTTGAATATTAAGGTAAACCCAGAGACTCAGCAGCAACTAAATAAAATAAATCTTCCTGCTGGAATTTTGTCAGCAGGTGAAAAACAGTCAGAACAACAGCAGCAGCAGCCGCCGCCGCCGCCACCACCACCACCACCGGAACAGGAGCCTCTAAAACAGCCAATGGTCACGCAGCCTCTTGTACCACCTGCTCAACTGATTCAGCCTAAAGTTGAGACTGATGCTGCCCAGGCAGCTGTGCAGAGTGCATTTGCTGTTCTGTTGTCTCAGTTAATAAAGGCTCAGCAAACAAAACAAAAAGATACTGTGTTGGAAGAGAAGGAAAACGGTTCAGGAAATGAAATGTCATTACAACTCAGGCAGCCTCCAGAGCCTACGACTCCTGTGTCTGTCAGCCGGGATGATGTGGAATCTCCAGCACCTGTCTACCCACATGTGATCAAGTCATTGTATATGTCTGCAGGTACTGAAGGTCTTTATTGCTAACTGGCAGATACCTTGAGCAGCGGAGATGTAATAGCTGGGGATAAAGAGTTAACATGTCAACCGTTTGGTTGGATGGACTCTCCAGCAAGTCTAGGAGAGATGATTAAAATGATTTTGTCATGTTTTTGGTCTGGATCTGAATTTGTGTCTCACTGTAAGAGGTGCCATGCAGACAGAGCAAAAGATGATTCCCTCACTCTGAGAGGCACAGAAGTACCAGTAGTATTTCTGATGTACTGGTTACATCAGTCATGATTCTGGGGGCTTGGTGTTTTATCAGTGGTGGTTGTGGTGGAGAAAACAGTCTTTAGCAAATTCATAGATGGAATTTGACAATTTTGGCTGTGTTTAGGTAAGGCTTACTTTGGGGAGAAGGTACTTTATTTTTGGTTTTAGTGCTGACTAGAGCAATTTCTTAGTGTCACATTCTGTAACTGGTTGCCCTTAACTGTCACTAACACATATGGCTGCTGGTTTCCATTGGGATATAGTAGTAGCTTCCTTAGTCTTCTCAAAGTTTTGTGTTGTGTTGTTGATATTTTTTGATTGCTACTTCAGATTTATTATATGGTGGTTTATGTATTGCTCTCTGGTGCTTGCAGCTTTTGAAAAATACTCTGAAGCTGTTTGGGGGTGTTTTTTGAGGGGTTTTGGGGTGTTGTGGGTTGTTTTGTGTTCCTGTTCCTTTTAACCTAAAGTTTTACTGTTCCTTGATAGGGTGGTCTTTTGTCCCTCAAGACTTTTATCCCTGTTTGCAAATCTCTTCTGATTCCTCAATCATAAGATCATAGAATGGTTTGGGTTGGAAGGGACCTTAAAGATCATCCAGTCCAGCCCCCCATGGGGCAGGGAACACCTATCCCCAGACCAGGTTGCTCAAAGCCCTGTCCAACCTGGCCTTGAACACCTCCGTGGAGGGGGCATCCACAGCTTCCCTGGGCAACCTGTTCCAGTGTCTCACCACCCTCACAGTAAAGAATTGCTTCCTAATATCTAGTCTAAATCTACCCTCTTCCATAATTCTATCACTAACTGCTCTTTTTTCTTTTTTCTTTTTTTTTCCTTTTTTTTTTTTTTTTTTTTCCAAAAAGTCCCTCCCCAGCTTTTCCGTAGGACCCCTTCAGGTACTGGAGGGCTGTAATAAGGTCTCTCCAACTCTCTCAGTCGGTCCTCACAGGAGAGGTGCTCCAGCCCTCTGATCAGCTTCATGGCCCTCCTCTGGACCCGCTCCAACAGCTCAATGTCCTTTTTGTGTTGAGGGCCCCAGAACTGGATGCACTACTGCAGGTGGAGTCTCAGTAGAGTAGAGGGGTGGAATCGCCTCCCTTGCTCTGCTGGCCACACTTCTTTTGATGCAGCCCAGGATGCAGTTGGCCTTCTGGGCTGCAAGTGCACATTGTCAGCTCACATTGAGGTTTTCATCGACTGACACCCCCAAGTACTCCTCAGGACTGCTCTCCAAGCCAATTTCTTGGTTCTTTTGTTTTGTTTGGGGGTGGGGAGTGTTGGGTTCTGTTTGCTTGTTTGTTTGAAGGCACTTGTATAATTTTTCTTTAACTGCATGGTAATCTTACTTTGATGAGAAACCTGCATCACCCTTCTGAGTCAAATGAGCTATTGCTTTCTCCAGAATAATATATCAAAACTACCACTGCATTTAATGATTTGATGAGAATTGAAGTAACAAACCTCTGTATTCTAGGAAAAAGTCCTTTACTTTCTGGTATTGTTGCTGTCTATTGCAAAGCTCTTCTTTTTCATCTGCTTAGGTCAAGAGGATTTGGTTAGGCAGTCAGAGATGAGGCTTCTAAACCGAACACCTGAACAAGAACGCCCTCGGATCTTGCCTCCAGACCAGCGTCCCCCAGAGCCACCGGAGCCTCCGCCTCTCACTGATGAAGACCTTGATTACCGGACAGAGAAACAGCATTTGCCTTTAACTAACTCTTCAGGAACAGATCCTCACGCAGGAGTGAAAGCAGCTCTTCTGCAGCTACTTGCTCAGCATCAAGCTCAGGCGACAACGGAGGAGCCAGTACAAACAAACATGGATTATCAGGCTAGAGACTCCTATGTAACAGGCCCAGACTACAAGGATAACTTTGGATCATCTTCCTTCTCATCTGCCCATTACGGCAGCAGTGATGGCTTAGGGAGCGGATCATCAGGAGTATTAGAAGGGAGGAGCTTCCTTGGAAACTCTGATATTCAGTCTTTGGATAACTACAGTACTGCTTCATCTCACTCTGGCGGTGCCCCTCCTCCGTCAGCCTTTTCAGAATCCTTTCCCGGCTCAGTAACTGGCTATGGAGACATTTACCTCAACACTGGTCCCATGCTATTTAGTGGAGATAAAGACCATAGGTTTGAATACAGCCGTGGCCCGATCCCGGTCCTGGGGAGCGGCAGTGATGCTTCTGCAGGCCCTGAGAGTACACACTCTTTGCCCACAAAGATGCACAACTATAGCTACCGAAGTAGCTTACAGGAAAAACCCAGTGGCATCAGCCACATGCATGGACAGACTTGGACTTCTCCTGCCCAAGGACCTGGCTATTCCCAAGGATACAGGGGACACATTAGCACATCTGCAGTGAGAGGGCGAGGCAGAGGATTACCATATTGAGTATCTGTTTTTCCTCAGGCACATCGTTTTTATCTGGAAAAACTTTTTTTTTTTCCCCTAGCTGCAGTTTAAAGCAGCAGTTCAACAGACTTGAATAATGTTAATTCAGCAGCTTTATTTTTATGTGGAAAAGGGTCCTGCATACAGTAGGAAAAATTAAAAATGCTTAAAACTCATTCTGTCTGAAAACTAGATAAATTGTACATGTTGGCAAATTCTAGTTCTGAATTTTTTTTTGTATTTTGGCAGTTTTAAGTGGTTGCTAAATTTAGGGACATCAGCTTTTTATGGCACTCTTTCAGATGTTCTGAACTATGCACATTTGTGCTTTTTTTTGTAAGTTTGGACCAACTTTTATGTAAAAAAAAATTTACAACAATCAAAACAGGGCAATGGTTTATTTGGTATTTTTCTTTTTACAGAACTACCTTTAGTCAAAGGTCACTGTCAGTCTTTGCACTGCTTTCAGTGTTATTGTGGAAGGTGTACTTTGTGCTCATTTCAGATAATAAAACACAACCTTTCTCTTGATGCAAAATTTTATAAATATTTGGTCAATGTTATTTTTTTTCTTTTGAGAAAGAAAAAGACCGGATGTTCTGGTAAAATGTACTTTCCATCTCCCAAGCTTGTTTATATAAAAACTGTTTTACTTGAATGGTAAGTGCCTTAACATGTAAGCTTAAGGTCTGCAAAAATTTGGAAGTACTTTATAGATCAACATGAAAATAATACCTAAACCTAGGTAATTAACAGGAAAATTCAGATAATAATAGGCAACTCAAATAGGTCATAACCTTGTGCTCTATACTTCAGGTGGGACAGTTATTTAGAGACCTAATCTTATCTTGATGAAATAATAATTTCCAAATTGAACTTCATGAGAAATGATGAAAGTGAGGAAACGAATGATGAGTGTAGTTTTTCCTCAGCTCCCTCTTGGAGTCGTAGTGTTTTAGTTTCTCTGCCAAATAACCTATTCTTTATATTTCCTTACAAAGTGATTAAATAGCTTTTTCTCTTAAATGTCAACAGCAGTAATTACTTGTGTGAAAAGCTGACACTGTCTTCTTTTTACCACAAGTACTGCATTATAGGTAGTAACCAAAGGAGAAATGACCAGTATTTAAAGCAACAGCAAAATGTTCGACACCAGTTCTGTTTGTCTGTAAAGTTGTGATTGTGCCAATTAAATAATTGCCTGCTGTTCCACAGAGCATTATAATATTGGAATCGAGTCTCTGAGCAACTGATAAAATGACTGTGGTTAAAACTCTTACCAAGAACCATTCCTCATAATAATTACAATGTCCAGCATGTTTGGTTGGTTTTTTTTTCTCCTTTGACAACAAGCGGTCTCTCCTCTGCAGAGAGGAGGAATGGTTATATTTTGCATGTACGTAAAAGAATGTTTTAAAGCCCATATTGGAAACAATTTTCCAACTGATTATCCAGTTGACAAATCGGTACCTTATGTAACTGAGTGTTTAATTATTACTTTTTAATAAGTAAAATTTCTACTTACACTGTTACAAATGTAGTCTTGTCAGTGACTTTTTGGACTTTCAGAATAGGAGACAAAGTTGTTGGTGTTTTGGTGTTTTGTTTTTTAGTTTTAAATCCTGGTTTGTATATGGCTAACTACCACTTTGTAGAGCATGGAGAGAAGCTCACTTTGCTAACTGCATAGCATTTGAGGATCTGGCAAATGAGAAATGGAGAGAGAGTTGTGCTGCTTACAATGTCCTTTAAGTAGTTGCCTTCACTAGACAGAGTAGAAAATCCTGCAATCTGAAAACAAAAGCAGCCAGGACAGAAACAAATTCTTAGCACCTGAATAGCCTGTGCTTAGGAAAAACAAAAGCTTCATGTTGAATGACAAGGCACTGGATAGTTTTCCTAGAATAAGGATACACCTGTAGCATTTTCCTGCTAGTAAAATTTTAAAGGCAAAAATCGTTACTGTCGTTTAGATATGGACAGTGTCAGCTAAGGCTTTTTGTTTACTAACCTTAAAAAAAAAATCCCCCAGTGATATACACACAAATTACTTTTTTTCAGAATCATGCAAAAGACTTCCAAAGCTCTTAGGCAGTTATTTCACTAAAAAATATGCAGTCTGGTGTTACTCTACTGCACTTCAACTGTAACTGCATGTCATAGTTCACTAAAAAAGCAGGTAAGGTCAAATGGAAGGTAGATCTCGGAGGACTAAATTATTTGACTTCCAATACAAAAATGCAAGGAAGACATTGTATCTCCAACTGTGCTTCCCTTTTGGAGGTAAATTTTCAAGTCATTTAGTTCACCTCATTTAATGCAGAGAAGTCCGTCCCCTATTGTGTGTGTAAAAAGTGCAGTTCCCTTATGGCCTGGCAGTACTCTATATTGCATCATTCTGCCAAAATGGATTTAGGTCTTTGGCCATGGAAAAAACGACCAACAACAAACATTATAGGCAATCCTGACTTTGAGGAAAAAGAAGGAGATGCAATAGACAGCTGACTTCTGGATGAATCAGAAACAAAACTCTGAAATGCTGTGGCAGATGTGTACTACACAGCTATTTTTCCCCAGATTCAGTTTAAGGATTACTAGCCTGTAACTTTGAACACTCTAATTGCCTGGGACAACAGTGTTGGGATAATTTGGAGGGAAAGCAAACATATTTCTGTATATGATAACCCTGAAGAGATACCTTCTCTGCAACCCAGGGGATCTTTTTGGCTATTTTGCTGATAGCCTTTTCTCCTCGGCAGGTAGAGGCTGTGCATGGACTGCATGTAGGTAAGGAGCATCTGCCCTTCCAGGACAGCCCTTGGGGTGTGTGGCAGGAGGGTTTCTCCCCGTGGCTACACTCCCTTGGCCCTAGAGTTGTGTCTGGGCAGCTTAGCAGCCAGGGAACTGGCCAGATCTAAGGACTGTAAGTCCATGTTCATTAGTACCAGACTTACCAACATTTCTTTTGCATTAAAATCATGTGATGAGGTGTTTATGTCAGTTCAGAGTTCTACCCTTTTGAACAAATTTCACTTGGCAGAGGGAGTCTGTACTAGTTTGGCATTTTACAACATGTGGCTTTTGCATTTTTGATGCAGTAGTGGACATTCTGAAAACTGCATTATTCTGTGAAGCTGTGGCTTTTGTTACTTCCCACCCCATTCCTTTGGGTTTACATTTTCTGTGCTGCAATTCCAAAGTGTGCTACAGAGAACTGGACACTACATCAAAAAGTAAGTGTTGTGTGTTTATATTTCTAAATAAACATAGCAAAATACTGTAATCATGGACTATCAAGTAGCAATTACTTCATTATTTATATTAAGTGGTCTTTAGCCATACCAAAAGGAAGAAAGTGAGCACGACTGTACTGCTATGACTGCTTAAAAAGCTTAGACTATTGTAATATACTTAAAATCAGCCAAAGGAAAAGGAAACAGCTTTTATCATGGATTGCTAGTTGTTGTTGTTATCTTGAACAGAAGGAACAGTGTTAGAGGAGAGATGTAAAAATACATATATCCTTAAATGTTATTACAATTTCTTGGAAAAATAATTTTTAAATGGCAAACTTCTGTATTATCTTAAGTTTCCATAAAACATGATCTATGTTAAATTTTCTCCATACCACACTAGTGTAAGGTGCTTTTTAGAAGTCGAGGCGATCATGCTGTCATATAAGTTCTCAAGTTTTTGAGTGCTCTTCTCCTTTTGCTTGGTGCAAGAAGCAGTTTCAGTTCTGGTGAAGTTTACAGTTGGATGAGTTTAATAGATAATTGTGTGGTAAAAACTGAAGTGCTGAAGTAACATAGGATACCTCGTCTGCGGGCAAATTAGATCTCAGACCATGAATTTCTGTTATTTTGAGAGATATCTCAAGATTTATTTCTTGCATTCTTTCCATTAACAAAACACACAAGTGTTTTACATACAACATTTCTCCAGTCTATTCTGTCACACTTTTTTTATATGGGGAAATCTTGTTTGTTTCCCTTCTTGAAAGTTTTAGGATATTCAGTATATGCGGAAGTGTGTCATGAAATTAAGGAATCGCCAGAAAACTGATTTGAATTCTGTAGTTAAAAATGAAATTACTTTGGGTTGACTTAAACTTGAACTAACTTTTGCTTATCAGGGTGAAGAATATTTTATTGCAGGAGTTATTTCAAGACAACCTAATTTAAAATAATCAAAGTGTTACGCTTCAGCTTGCTTACTCTTTGTTATTTTAAGCCATTTGTATATAAAATGTATTTTGTGCGGCCTGTAAATAAAATACATGGAAACTTGAAGTCTTGCATTGTTTTCCCTCTGGTTGTCAAATGGCATCTCAAAAGAACATTGGGTTAAACTGAGGTGGTTTTTTAGCATCCAAATGAATACAATTTTAAGTGTGTTAAAATTGTGCAAGTTACTTAAAAAAACCACTGTCCCTTTAAAAAGAATTGTGTGTGTGTTAGAGGTAATGGGAGATCAAAGTCAAAGAGCCAGGTATTTTCAGTGTCTGGCTCTGCGCATACAGTGTTGGTGAGGCACTGTAGATTAAGCGCGGCTTCAGCAGCTGCGCTTTGCATGCCTGCCACTTCTCTGTTTTTCTACTGTATCAACTAATTAATGAAAACACTTGCATCTTTGAATAAATGCAATACTTCCCTCAAAAAATAAGGCACTTGTCGTATCTTAGTACTCTTGAACTCCAGGTTGGACAGACTGCTGTTGTCATTGCTTCAATACCTTGTCATTGATAGAGTCAGAACATGGGTGATGAAGGTGCTGCAGGAAGTTACAGGGGCCAGCACCAGTTCCGTATGTGTCTTTTGACATTAGCCTAGCTAAGTGCGTAGCTGTAGCCCAAAGTATCTTGCTTTGGAGACAATACTTTGGTGGCAGCTACAATGAGAGCCTGGATTTTACTTCTGATGGCCAATTCAAGCTGTATTACATCAGATGTTGACTTGCACACAGCTTATCAGGTGGTTGCGTGAAACAATTGCTAGTTGTCTGCTCGATTTTTCTCATGAAAGCTGCTATTGCAACTAGTAACATGATGAAACTGGTTCTGGTTTCTGTTTGGAGTATGAACCTGTAGTGGTTTGTGGTGAACAATGCTGTGTCCCATTCATTCAGCTGTTAGTGCCAAACAGCCACCAAGCTAGGCAGAAAGGTACTAGTAATAATTCCAGTGGGATCTGCATGTGAGTCAATATACACAGCTGCAAATAAAATAGCATCAAGTGAAAGAGGAAAGATGAAAGTAAGTGCAGAACAACAGCCTGTATCAGCACAGAGCAATGAATGTGTCCATGAAATTGGCAGCAATAGAGGAAACAAACATGTCACAGTCATGAATTATTGCCTGTTAGCTTTGAAAGAACCATGCAATCTTGCAGAAACTTCTGTTAAATTAGCTGACCTGGAATTAAGTTGCTCACATTTTTAAGGAATGCCTGTAAACCCTGATAGGCTATCTGGATGAAGGGAATTACAGCTACCAACCTCCTCCATCACATGGAAGAAAATGCAAGTCGGAGTTCTTGGCAGCGACAACAATGAGAGAGAGAGCCTCATTTTACAAATGAGGGGAACTG